GAGGATCGTTACATCTCCCGTACCCTACAGCCCAATAGGCAGGAAATCCCCTAGATTTTCCTGCATGAAGTAAGTACACGTAATTTTAGCTATTTTATACATGAGTTTGGACAGACCAACCATGGCTAATATTCTCGAGGCTACCAAGTGCTGAAGAGACCATCGGTACGGGGGCCCACAGGAAGGGCTCGTAGGCATTTAGTCACCCTGTAAAGGACCACATCTTTGGTTATTGTCGTCGATTCAACGCAAAGTGTGGTTGATTTAGTTTTGTTGGAGTTCTTCTCCGCAATTAGCACTAGCGTCTCCATTATTTCCGGAAACCTGCGGACTGTAATGCGCGGGCAGCATGCTGCCTGTCGTAGTCCAACGCTTCCGTGGTTCCCGTGTTCTTCTGCATCATTCATAGCTTTCCTAGTTCCCATTTGATGGGCTATACAATTGCGGGGGTTGTTGGGGCGAAACCATAGAGCCTCACACCCTCGTATTGTCCAGGATATCATTGGATTGTCTGTTTTGGGCTCCTGGCCTTCTATGAAGCTGGTCAATGTTTTGGGGCTGCTTGCGGAAAAGTGGTATTCGCAGCTATGCACCGAGCTCTACAATCACTTCAGTCGTTTTTGAAGACCGAAAGATGGAATTTGTGAGAGAAAGCGAACTTTTGAAGAAAGTCCATGCTGGCTTGGGGACTCTTCAGACATATTCGCCGAACGGAACTAAAGTAGATAAATATTTCGGAGACAGCGACTTGACACTCCCTTCGAATGCGGAGGCTGTGGAACGGGATCACACAACGGGGAAAAACTACAGAACTCTAGGGGAACGAACCAAACAACATGCCACGGGCGCACGCGCATTGTGGGTTGTGCTGGCAGCAACCCTGTCCTTAGCAGCGGTAGCGTTCTTAGTGCGGCAGTGTTCGATTAATTTGCAGGCACAGCCTGCGAGCTCGACCTCTCGGCGGCTAGCAGAGGCACCCGAAGGCGGCACAGACCCCCAGATATGTATGGAGGTAAGAATCACGGAGACAGCTAGTGGTGCGAAGCGTTGGGGTGGATCCACATGTAATTGAAAACGCAAAGCTAGTGCAGATCTACCTCTTTGTTCACAAGTACACACGTNGGTGGATCCACATGTAATTGAAAACGCAAAGCTAGTGCAGATCTACCTCTTTGTTCACAAGTACACACGTTCCTTATTTGAATATGCCGCTCGTTCCAGATGTAGAACTCTCCTTAGCGACATCTACTATCAGGTGCCGCGTCGCGAGAGCATGATTGCTTTTGTGGAATTGTCCTGAAACTTTTATTAGCACAATGAGGCTTCGTTTGTGTTCTGCATCAGAGGACCCCTCCAGACCCAGACATTGTAGACAAGTTACTCGCAAGAGTCAGGCATTGGTTGGCCACAAGCCGAAGTACGCAGGTTCAGTAGGCCAAGTGATTCATTGCAGGCTGCTGAGTTGGTCGCACCTCAAATAACACCATATTCCTGCGGACCGAGGGATTACTGTTGGGAAGTAAGGCGACTGCTTTGGCCATTATCACGTCTGTAGAAGCAATAATTCGTCCTATTTGTGCATCTGTTTTTAGGGGAATACACGTTGTTTAGGACAGGGGATTTTATCGTGCGAGCGGAGGTTGATAAGGGGAGCAGACAAACAACGCCTGTAAGTTTGAGAAATATCTTAGCATGCACGGACTGCTGCTTTGCGTTTCTCGAAACGATTGTCTTTCATTCAGTCGCGCACCTTCGTATGTGTGCTGAGCTACAGGAGCTGGAGAGCATCACTACAGTGAGTAGGGAGGGCATTCCCGACCAGTAGAAGGAAGATCATCTTACGCCACGCTTAGGCATTGCCGGGGATGGTTGCGGACTCCTTGCCCTGCGATGTATTTCATCCGCAAGCCCTGAAAAGTGTACTTTCGCAGGCTCTTGTCGAAGCTGTCGGCACGATGCGCACATTTTTGGAAAGAGTACTCCCGTCCTTTCCGCGTGGAGAAGTGTGCAGTGAGCATTGAACTTACCAGCAATTCGGTGGAACCCAACAAACGGACAGTTTACACTAGATGAGTCCCCCGTTATGGATTCCAAGTGGACATATATACAACTCCCTAGTATACGCCTGCTTCCTGCTTACTTCCACGCCTGTACCTGATTTTTTGGACAGCACCTCACTGTCTTTACAATCTACAGATATCAAGCGGACCATTCGCAGTCGGAGGGGGAACCAGCATTGGGTTCGGCTCATCATCCGTCGTGCGCTGTTCAAAGAGGTATGGCATGCGTCACGAGCCACATTNAGCATTGGGTTCGGCTCATCATCCGTCGTGCGCTGTTCAAAGAGGTATGGCATGCGTCACGAGCCACATTTGCGTCGAAGGTACAGGCAGCCAAAGCGGCGGCGGTGACCGTATCGGGTTTAGATGCAGATGCTTGTTCGTGAATGCTGCCGTGTTTGCTTGCCTTTTCTGTGTGTCCTTATCCTGTTGCTTTCAGCGCGAAGTTTACCCTCAGGTTGTCCTCGAATGGGCTGATGAGATGCTGAGACATACTCGTAGTACGTATACGCAGTGCACGACCCCATTGAGAACGGTACACAAGACTGGCAGTAATGAAGAATGCACGCTGAGCGAGGCTGCTCAGCGTGCATTCTGCTGATGGGCTATCCCTCATAGGCACTAGCGGCGTGCCCTGTAACAGTTGTAACGTAGGAACCCGCCGACGTCTGCAAAATTTCAGGAGTTCTGCGTGACAGCAGCGATTTTAGGTCTGGAAAAAATTGTTATAACGACCCTTCTGTTGCATAGGCTGCTTTTCGTGCAGAGCGAAAAACCAAACTGCTCATGGGCCCGTTCATATACACGCTGAAGTACAGAGGAGCTGTGAGTTCTGACTGCATGCCCTGTACACTGAAATGCATGTTTTTTCCGTTGGACGCCGTGGCAGTGCTTCACAAGGTGGAAGTGCACCGATCTGCGCTGGCCGAGTTTTCGCTGTTTTGGAGCAACATGTGAAACCCGTTACCCACGGTCCCTAAATCTGAGAGGGGCGCAGAATTACTGCTAGTTATCACCGTCGTAATAACAATTGATTATGCGCAAGAGCCCCAAACCGGCTTACTGAGACTCCGTGGTTTTGTCTTTTGGTATTGCTACCTTAGGGAAATCCCAAAGAGGAGTCACTGCGCCAGGTTTGTCTCCGGAAGAAGGGCGCTGGGGTCCAATCGCCTTGCATTTTGCCTCAATGCAGCTTGCCCCCCAAGTCTGAGGATAAGTGCAACATCTTAGAGACTTCAGCGCAGTCGCAGATGTGGGTTTGAAGACACATTCATTATGTGAGAGCATATTACGTTTGCTGCGTCCATTTTTGGCCAGGAAGCAGCTGATAGGCTCTTGTCTCTGCGGGACTCCGCCGAAACAGTTATTTTAGAAGCTGCGGACACCAATGGAAACAGAGGTCCGGATAGCCCCATGGATCCTGGATGCCCGTTCCTGCAACATTGCTACAAGCTGTTTTACATAATTTGGAGATTCCGTGAGTTTCCAACGCTATGCCTACGCCGAGCATTTCGCGTTGCCTGCTTTGGGTGTTCAATCGCACAGAATTTCCAGTGGATGTCGAAGTGGACAATAGTTCCATAATCAGGAGGGGTGTTGCGCTACTAAAAATGCGCGAAGCAAGTACACGCGAGGTGCGCCTCTCTCGGGTGTAGAAAAACACGCCTTATAAGCGAAGAAATCGTAGCTTTGAGGCAATAGTGCACAAGCCTGCAGAGTCAGACTGCCTTGCTAGAATTTGCACCCCCTGTGTGTGATGCTGTCTGCTGCGGGACAGCGGAGGAAGCGCCAAGGCCGTATGAGAAAAGATGCTACTGGCAAAACGTCGTGGTACTCCGGGGAAGGTGAGACGTTCGATCGAACTTGACGACAGCTGCCCGCGGAACGGCCACAGAGGGGGGCTCTTGTAATTTGTAGGGGTATTTTCTCCAGCGTGATCTGCAGCTGGGGGCTGCAGATCCTTCTGGTTAACTGCTGTTGAGTGATGTCAAGGATGATCCGTGAACAACTACGCAGCACTGCTCTTCTGGCGCGTTTGCAGCACCCGTTTCACAGTCGCTGCCTTCACCCGCAGTACAGCGTGAGAATCCTTTTCACGACCCTGGCTTATCCGTGCCTGTTGACTTGAGGATGCCCCAAAACACGCCTAAGCACCTGCTAAATTCCTAGAAATGCGCCTGCAAGCTCACTTAACGGAAAACAAGTTTGGTCAACATACCACCGACGAGGCTAACAGTATGGCTAAACTCCGCTACATGTGCCCAGCGTCTGTCGTTTTTGCAATGCAGCTGACAGCAGCCCCCGTCCACATCGCCCTAAAAGTGAGTAGTCATTCAGTGCAAGTGCGCATCTCGACACGAACTATTCTGCAATCAGCCTCTTATAAATATTTAACGCACGTGTGCCGTCTTCGTCGAGCTTATGTTGATAGTATTTGCTTCAGCTTTTCCCGAAAACAATATAGAAATGCAGTCTTAGTCTCGGCGTCTTGCTCTGCCCTTCCTGACAGATCTAGCAGTGCTAGAAGTCTTGTAACATCACTAGCTAGCAATTAGTAATAGGTGATACAACATGATTTTCATGCGTTTTTGCATGCCCTGGTCCCCTGGCGTTTATCTAGGAATGGAAAAAACTGATTGACTATGCGTGTTTACCGTTTTGGCCAGTAGTGAGTAAACATATCAATCGTTACGAAATTTGTCCGTGGCGGTTCTCGTACTACAGAAATGCCCTGTTGTGTAATCTGCCTCACCGGTTTGCGTTCTGCACAATTATGCCTTTTGGGCCCCAAGTATCCAGGGAAAGAGCTGACAGGCTGCATCCCAAGGTATGCTCTGTGCTTCAGAGGCTGTCACGATTGTCCCTCCAGCAAGCGGCGAAGACCCGGCATATGGAGAGGGTGAGCTCACCAGATATTGCTCTGTAGAGCCTGAACTTTCCGCGCCCACCTGCACCAAAACTCACAAGGTAGACTGCCTCCCGTATATCTGCAGCTTGCTGTGCTGGCTGTTGCTATTGCAGGAGGCGAAGGACACCGGTCGTCTTCGCAACCAGGTGCGCGCAGAATAGACCATGCGCAGCGTCAAAGCAGCCGGCGAGTTGCGTGATAAGCACGGTCCAAATAACGACTGTGTTTTGGCATGTATTTGTTCGTGCAACAGGTGGTGGTCACCCGGGATATTCTGGCGGAGGTGAGCGCAGGAACGATGCCTCTCAACAGTCTAAACAATCCGCCATAAGCTTTATCAAAACTAACAAGTTAGACTGCATCCCTAGTACCTACTGTGTGCTGTGCTGGCTGCAGCTCTTGCAGGAGCTGAAGGACACTGG